TAAAGGTTATATCCAAGCTTCCAGTAAAAAGCGAGAACAGGTTTTCCCTTCAACGTGACATTTAATGGCGAAGGTTTTTCCGCATTCTGCCTTGAAAAAGGCATAACTACAATCTATGCGTGTCATCGGACAACTTTCACGGAACACGAACAATTACAGTTTCTCACCCGTAAACGTTCGCGCTTTCACCGGCGATACGTTGCATTTCCGGCACAAATCCATCGGCATTCACGCTTACCACATATATTTTCACTCCTAAATAAGTAGTGTACATTAGGTAAGCTTGAAAAAGCAAGGCTCCGCAAAGATCAGATGAAATTGAGTAATAAATGAAAAGTTATTATATGAATATCGATTTTCTCACCTCTTTGAAGTCGTAGATGCTCAGAAGGTTTCACTGGATCATCTATCGATAAGCCATCAGTGAAAAGGGCGACAATTTTGCTAGCATTCTTCCTAAACAGGCAAAAAAGCTGAGTTAGTTGGCAAGAATGTTGAAGGTGGGCAAGGGAGGTGACCTCGAGCGGGAGTCGAACTCGTACTTACGTAGTAATGGGATAATGTAAGCCGGAAAGTACTAATTCAAAATAAAGGCGATGGATAAATGTTCGAAGCATTGTATGTGGTGGGTATCTCCGCATCATTTCTGCCTTTCCAATAACCAGTAACTTTATCTGCTTTTTTCCTATATTATATGTGAAATAAGCCTGTGTGCCCGGAAACACGTTCTGGTATTTTAGAGCATGAAAGAAGTGTCACGTAAGAAATCATGCAACGAATAAAAAAATCTATGACTGCGCATGTATGTCATGCGATACGGCACGTTTCACGATAGAAGTTGTGAGGGCGCAGATTCTAGCTGATTCAGCAAAAATAAGCAGACAAAACTGGACGAGCAGGGAGGGTAAAAAAACACTGCGAGCGTGGGTTAAGCAGTAGGGAGGAGGAATAAGAGAATAGAAAGAAAGAGAGAGAGAGAGAGAGAGAGAGAGAGAGAGTAGAGAGAGGACGGACACGGCTTAACAGGTTTCACAAAGGTACAGAGAGGTCACGTACAGGTCATCTGTGGGTGGGACTGCCAAGCGGTGGGGGTGGAGAGTGATTTTTGTAAATGACTGCCTCATTGACCAGGAAAATGGTAAAGTCTCCGTAGTTGCGGTCCGGCTACCTTTTCCAAGAAGTGGAGCTTTCCTATCAGATAATCGCCTTCGATAAAAGCTCGCCTGGCAAGTAGGTAATAAATTAATCAGTGAAAAACTGGGATTTGAATCAATGGAAATAAACTAATTGTAAAAACTTGTTCCATAAATTTCGAAGATCCAAAGGTTATATTGCCACAATAGCAATTACTAGTACTCACCTTGCCCCTCTGTCATCGTTGAAGAGTTCATCCTCGGCTCGTCTCAACGCATATCCTGTCCTAGTTACTCCCGACTGAAACGACATCTCTTGAAGATGTTTTACAACTTCACCTTTGTCGTTATAAGTATCCAGACTGAATTCGGTCAGCGGGTAGCCAGCATACCTGGAAAAAAACGCTTAAAATTTTTTGTCTACAATATTCAAAGAAGCTTTGCAGGATGGATAGCTACAATTTAGCAGGTACCGCCCATGTCTCCGCCCATCCCGTTATCATGGAATGTGTCTTCAAGTGACAACAAAAATAATGCTGTCAGGAGAACATACTGTATGGTAGAGAGTCGTACAGCATCCTTAGAGATTGGTAACGCATCGCTTAGAGAAACGGTCCAATGAATTTGTTTGCTGTAGATTTCCTCGATACTTCCAGAGGTGTCCAGAACGAATGCTACATCCATTACGGGTGGGCAGATTTCTTAAATAAAATCAGCACTCTGCTAGATGCTGGAAGGCTTTCACATCTGATACAAGCTGGTAAACCAACCATCATCTAGTTGTGCCGATAGGGCTTGAAATAAGGAAAATGATAAGCAAAGGAGTAACAACCTGTGGTTCATTTCTGAAAGTTTGTGATTAGCCTTGTTTGATATGCTTAATATGAAAGAATACGAACACTGAGCGTTCAAATTTTTAACTTTCAGAATGAACACGGAAAACCAACTGGGAGGCGGGGACGTAGGGCACATGAAACGGTTTTAATCGAGTAAAATGAAGAAAAGAAAAAAAAAAGCCCAATGGACAGGCCGGGGACTTGGTCATGACAACGAAAAAACGAATAAAGTGCAAGAAGAGAAAATAAATTGCTGGCCGCCCCTGACAAATTACCATTTAGGGCACCGCCGTAACCCCACTGACGGTTTCCACCCCAGCGATTAGAGCGTTTTCTTACCGGCCAGACCCTACCTTCTACCTTAGCGGATTCTCCCAACAATGCTGTACTTGTGTCTAGTTATTTCTCGCGCTCCTCTGGGGAAACCATTAGCTCATGGACTGACATCCTTCCTAATCTATGTAGCTCGAATTTGTATACTGAAAGTCCTACAGAGAGGGGTCAAAAACAGGCGTCCTGTGGGAACTGTCTCCTGGATGTGCTTCCAGGTACAAGAGGGCCTGACCCTCATTCTGTAAGGCAGTCTCTTCCCCTTCGCAAAACTACACAAAAGAGCTACGGCTCTCATAAGTGGCAGTCCTAGTGCCTCAATAGTTGTCCCGCCTATCAGAACCCGAGGGCTATGTTCATTTCACAGCGCGTTTTTCGTTTTTTTTCCTTTTTTTTCGCAGCTGAATGGTATTAGCATTGGATGACGCGAAAAAACGATTGGTGAGGTGGGTGGTTGCACGCTTTGCTGGCAAACAACAGTCCGAACAAAAGGTACAGTGAGCTTCGAGAGGGCCTTACGGTGTTCTCCATATTTTTTTTGTTTTTTCCTCCCTGGAGAGTCACTTAGGAACTGCAGCTTAGTTATAGAGCACCACTACTCACAATATGCAATCCTGGTTTGCCTTCAAGCACTTGCAGACTCTGCGTGGATATACATGCATTAACTAGGAAAAACGTTCTATAACATCTATATTCGTGCCGTGCTCCTGCAGAAGAGTGGATGTTCTAATACCGATTACGCGCCAGCAATCCTAAAACCGATGAGAGTTGTGAAAGCTGGAACATCAACGATAACATCAGGCGATGAAAATGGCGCGCTGAAGTAAAGCACAAAGTCGGATCCCCCGTCAACTTCTTGGGGGACACACACACCCCGCCAAGAGTTCCAAGGTTAGGTCCACGAACTTCTTCTCCCACATGCAAAAGAATAAAGACCAGATGCAAAGCTCAAGACTCAGATTCCGATACTAATCCGCTACCCCTTGGATAATGGTGCCTGCGTGAACGATCTGGTACAGCACAAGTAGAACAAAACCCTCAAATGACGATTAAAGCTGAAGAGCTCAATTTTCTACTCATGGTTAACTTTCAGCAGAGCTCATAATATTCCAGCAGCGGCGACTGAGAAACCCCAGATATCTTCCTTAGCCACCATATGCATACAAGCATGCGAACGGGGCACAGCATCGTGATGTGTGACATGGTGGTGTCAATACGACCCCCTCTCCTCATGAAGGTCTCGGTACGCCCCCCCCCCTCCTAAAAGAGGATCTCGGTACGACCCCTTCTAAAAAGGGGTCTCGGTACGCCTCACCCCTTCCCAATACCTACCCCTCCCGCTTTCCTACATGTTCCCAGCTTCCAACCAGTTTTCTCGGCAATTTCCCCAAAATTTGTCTTTTCGCGAAAAAAATTTTCCGTCAAGCGGAGGGGGGTGGGGGCTGTAATAGCAAATGTGGAATGGAGAAAACCGCAAAAAGTCAACAATCGAGGAAAATCTTTCCAGAACGCAGCCAATTTCTCTGAAAGGCACATACGATCCCTTCCTCCTCCTCCCCAGTGGTCTAGTACGAGCCCCCACATGTGTTTCTCACAACGACGCTGTACCCTGTGCAAACGGGAAGACGAGTAGGTGCATTTTTATCCCCGAGACGGAGTAGGCGTGGCATTTGGACATGGCATAGGATGAGTTAGTCGTGGATTACTTTAACCTGAAACAACTGTCATCCTGTTCCGTGTTGGAAGAAGGCATGGCCACAGTCTTTTGAAAATGAATATAACCTATTAAAAGCATAGCCACTGCCACTTTTCGTTGAAGTACGCGGTAACGCCTACCACATCTCAGAGATTTCGACTATAGAAGTAAGCAGATGAGGTGAGTGGGTGGTAAGTACAGTGAAGCAACCAGGGCAAAATAAACCAACAGAGCGGTTCTTTTACCTTGACGAAAGCAAATGTTTTTGCATTTAGCCGCCAATACAAAAGGAAAGCTGATCTAGTTCAATTACTCATTGCAGTAGTAAAGGCATTGAAGACACCGTAGCTGACACTCAAAAACGGAAGACATGCTTTGTCCCTCGTGCAGAACCAGAAAACGTGCCTTTTTTTCTAAAGTATGAGTCTAGCTCAAATGGTTTTGGCCATCAATTGAGCGTTAATTCACCAGCAATAAAAGGGGGCTGGGCACTTCCACTGCAACTCGCCATGGATTGAACTCTCTTTCACAATGGCAGCGACGCTTGTATAGTTCGTACCGAGTAATTTACAAGAAGGAAAACCAAAAGAACAGCATGAACAGAAAGGGTTCTGATACTTATGGAAACACAATTGGCTGTCTGGTTTTCTGTTAGGGGTGATCTGAAAAACCTTATGAGCAGCAAAGGAACATCTAGTGCCTCTTCCCCGCCTCCCCTCCCCTGTCGCCCATATGTCCTCATTGAGATACACTGTAAGTAGAAAGGGATCGGCGGTAGTATTTCTGGACATTTAACCGCAAGCTCAGAACAAGCAGGGTCAAGCATTGGGTAAGAGCCACACACGATGAGGCCATATGGGAGCTTCAGGGGTAGGTCCGAAGGTACATCAAAAGATATGTGAATCACAAGGGGTCAAAGAACAGAAGAGATACGAAAAAACAATTTCTGCAAGGAATGATGAGAATTTTTGTAGTGAGTGTAATTTTAAGAAGTACTAGTGAAATCCAGCATGGTATGAAGATAGGTTGCAAAGGCAAAAAATAAACGGGTGGAGGAAGAAAGTGAGGAGGTCGTAGGGTGGATCCGAATAAACGGCGCGAGTTCGGCTTCCATAGCAAGTCCTCAACTTGCTCATAATCGGATCTAAATGACGTGCGAAAAGGAGGAACAGTTGAGGTCTGGGCAGAAACGTGGACTCGTTTTTGGCGACTACACCTATGAGACATTCGAAGAACTCATGTGACGTGGTGACTAAATGAAAGTGATCTTTGCTTTCAGCCTAGCTCTTGTCTAGTTTTTGTAATAGGTAATGCTCCTTTGTATTATACATTACTCTTCATAGATATAAAATCTCCTCCAAATTTTACCTTTCCAAAACAGGAATCCGGCTGGAAATTTTCCATGTGTAACTGGAAGATCCCCGTGAGAAAAGGTGCTATTCGGCATGGAGTAGGCACTATGCGCTTTCGCTAGGTCCGCTTACTACTATACATTAACTAATAGGTTAACAACTGTAACATTTTGGAAGCTGTGAAATGCTGAACTTGAGCCACTTTAGCTACAGTTCACAGGTCTTCACCTAGTAGTTTGTGCAATGCCTCGCTGACTACGAAACAGCCTACAATCTATGGACCCTATCCATAAAACAGCGAAAACGTAACTTTCGTGGCATATCGTGAAGGAAGTACGATGTAAGGAGCTTTCATTTTCGTTTCAGACGCCAGGGATTGCCTATGTTAGCTCTTTTGTGTTCCGTAACTGACTACTGCTCAGGTAAATCATGGGTGCTCAGAGGCTCACATTCAGAATGGGATCAAAATTGCAGCGTCACCACAGCAGAACCTCTATCTTTGGGTCCGCCACACTTTCATTGTCTAGCGTGAAT